CCCTTTCTTTTCTCTTTAGTCTCGCCTGCCTTTCCCATTTTGGCAATGGAGGAGGCGCCATTTCCATAGGAACGGTCGCCTCTCCCCTACCCCTCACATGCACAAAAGGCAAAAATCATGGCGGTGTATCTTTCCATGTTCTAACAGGAGATTCACTCCCCTTTTGACCATGTGAGGTAGTGGAGTAGAGCCGACAACTGTTGGCGCCTGGATTCGGACTTTGATCTGCATTTCAACAGTTTGGGGATGTGCCAGTAGGGCGGTCGTTGAGGTAGGTCTGTTTTCTTTTCTTTTATTTATTTTTTTATATTTATTTGTCTTTCTAGTCCCCCCCTCCTCTTTGCCGCATGGCCCTTGACGCTCTGAAAGTAGGCAAATAGGGAGGGAATTTTAAGGTGAAGGATAGACATGCAGGGAAAAGAAAGAAATAATGGGGGGGGGGGGGAAGGCAAAAAAAAAGGAAAAAGGAAAAAACAAGGCAATTGTGCCTCGTTGCTAGGAAACAACCACTTTGGTTGTGTGGGAGCATAACAGGTCCCATCTCTTTGCGGCGCTAATATTTTCAGTCACGGGATCATAAATCTCGTGGCTCATATTGCGCGCATGGGAGAGAGGGAGTAAAAGAGGTTGTGAGAGAGAGAGCGATCACGGGGATAATTGGGAGGAGGAATGACTACTCCTCCCAACCTGCCAACTGCCCTCCCCGTCTTTAGGGGAGGGCAGAGGAAATAAAGTATGTGCTGTTGATTTTAACAACATGTTTCTAACATGAATCGGAATCAGGGACGGTGCATTTTAGGTTTTTTTTTTTTTTTTTTTTTTTTGCAACATCCTTGCGAGGACACTTAAGGTGCAACCTCTGGCATAAACTGCCACATGCAACTGTCAGGCTCTCGTTTTTAAAGTGAGCCTGAAAATAAAAGTGCACACAAAGAAAAAGGCTAAGTACAACCTTTCCCTCAATATATTTGCCCTGGGAAAATGGGCCAGATACGTCAAACTGAAAGGGGTTATATATTTTCAGCCCCTTATCAAAAAATTAAACGGATTGTAGATTTGAAAATCGCAAAAACTCAAAACTATCTCGTGAAATTCTAAGATAGTTAAAGTGAAAAAAAAAAAAAAAAAAAAAAAAAAAGTAAAGCAGT